GAGGAGGAGGAGGAGGAGGAGGAGGAGGAGGAGGAGGAGGAGGAGGAGGAGGAGGAGGAGGAGGAGGAGGAGGAGGAGGAGGAGGAGGAGGAGGAGGGACGAGGGACGAGGGACGAGGGACGAGGGAGGAGGAGGACGAGGACGAGGACGAGGAGGAGGAGAAGAAGAAGGTGTGGCCCCCCCACACCACACCACGCTACTTCAGGCAAGCTTACTTGCATGGCATTTCCACCCTTGCTCCCCCCCCCTCCGCTGCCCTTTCGAGCAACGCTTGGCCGAAAGGGAGCGCAAGCGAGTCCCCTATTGCGTGGAGTCCGGATTCCCTGTCGGACCTCGCCACCACCATCACCCCCGCCTTCCGTCCTTCCATGCAAGAGAACGTGCCATAATCTAAAGGAAAACAGCCTCCAGGAAGGCCCGAAGCTCGAGGATAACTTGAGATCCTGGCGTTACGATTTTTTCAGCGGGGCGTTTTCGCCCAGTTTTGGGCCCCAGGACCCTTGCAGATCGATCGGGCTCCAAAAATGACGCAGAAAGGTGGGGTCTAGGGCTCCTGTCGTGATTGAGAAGGTCGTACGGCCGGTGCCGCCGACCCTGAAGGGGGACGACGACGACGACGACGACGACGACGACGACGACGACGACGACGACGACGACGACGATGACGACGACGACGACGACGACGACGACGACGACGACGCTGACGACGGCGACGGCGGCGGCGACGGCGACGGCGACGGCGACTGCGACGGCGACGGCGACGACGACGACGACGACGGCGGCGGCGGCGGCGGTTGTGGTGGCGGCGGCGGCCCCCAGGGAGGATGCGTATCTTCCCCCCTCTACTCCCCCCGCCCCCTCCCCCCCCCGGGACCCCCCCCCGACGGGGAGGGGATCAAAGGGAAGAGGCTCCCTTTCGACACTACAACGACATAGGTAGGTGTTTTCGAGCTGACAGGCTTGAGGGGCAGGGTGCAGGGAAAGGAGACGACGGAAAAGAACGACTCGAACGGAGAAGCCCCTCGTACACGCCGACAAGGTCGGCGGATGTTTCGCGATGTTGCCATTTGTCTGCAACGTCAGATCTGAGGGCATCGGAAACCCCCACCCTGTCGAGTCGATTAGCGACTTGTTCTCTTTTGCCCCGGAGAGCCCTAGAGAGCCCCGGGGAGAGCATCGGGCCGCCCAGGGACCCCGGGGAGGGGAGGAGCGGCGCACGCAGGGAAAAGTGACACAGGCAGGAAGCATTTGGCAGGCAGCACGTGGCAGGCAGCACTTGGCATTCCTAGCTGCTCTGATACGCACGTTTTGAAACGTAACACGTCCCGTCTTCAAAACGTCCGTGCTCAAAACGTACGTGTTCAGTCTACGTGTCGAGCTCCATATCAATACACTACGTGTTGCGTGTTGCGTATCAGGGCAGCTAAGCAATTTGGTATCTTACCACGGATCAACGAGCCAGGGGCACGGTGGCGGATGACATACGACATGCGTGGTCTTCTTACCTGTAAGTGTCGCTGCGAGTGCGTGGTGCTAGCGTTCGATCGCCTGTCCGAGGAGGAGCAGGAGGAGGACCAGCGAGCGAGAGTTAGAAATCGATCCGGGCCCCAAGACCGTCAGAAATCGATCCGGGATGAGAAATGTGGCACGATGGATCGCAGCAGGGGTCTAGCGATTCGTTTTGAGCGCATCTGACAGGGGGTACATGAGGACGAGGACGAGGAGGAAGAGGAAGAGGAGGACCAGGAGAACGAGGAGGACCAGGAAGACCAGGAGGACCAGGAGGAATAGGAGGACCAGGAAGAAGGAGGAAGAGAAGGGAGAGGGAGGAGGACCAGCTTCGGGCTCCCTTGCTGGCAACTCGTTGGGAGACTTTGTTTTCTTGCTTGCTTTCAGCCGCGTGAAGCACGTCGTCGAAAATCGTCTCGCTGCCGAAAACATGTTGCACAAACTCACCACTGAAACGGTCGTCCAAGGCTTCGGGGCGGAGACCGCAACAGGGTCCAATAGCGATGCTGTGCGCATGGGCCGGCCCCAGCGGCTGATATTGTGGATAAGATGCGAGCGTGCGCCAGCATATTTGAGAACGTTTTCTCCTGCCACGTTTTGGTTATCAATTTCGAACAGGAGGAAACAAAAACCTTATTTCGATGTGTAGGCCATGGGTCAGCGGACGCCAAAAAAGTCCCTGATTGTCGATGACAACGGCTTGATTTGTTCCGAAGCCCAAGGTGTTCAGAAACAGCATGTCGCCACGTCGCAATACAAGCACGTCGTCAATGTTACGTGCTCGACTGATTCGATGCACCGTGAGACAAAGTAGTGGCCATGCAGAAGGTGTTCAGACAGCTGCGTCACAGCGTGCTGCAGCGCAGGAGCGTTCCTGTCGCGACCCAGCCTGCGTTTGGCCACGGCGTTGTTTTCACGCGAGGTTTGCACCGAGCTAGCACGTGGCCACAACTGTATGTTGCTGAGCTGTTAAGAGTACACAACAGCGATGCAGGTAGATTATTCCGTCCATCGGGAAGATGATGATACGCGCCGAGCGCCGTCGCACAAGGCCAAGGCGCAGTGCGAAGGGTTCGTCGCTCTGGCGGACATGATTATCCACTTGCGTTTGTGTCACACATGTATGCTTGCGCGCGACGCGTACTTTGTGCGTCATCTTCGTGCGCAGATTGTGGATGCTGGCGGTGTCGGAGGATTTGGCGTTCTTGGTCTCACGCGCGGAAGCGTTTGCCTATTGCACGGCGCTGCTTCGGTCGGTGGATTCCCGACATCCGCACACAACCCAAACGGTTCAGAGCCTGCTTGAGAGCTGCGAAGATAGCGCGAGGTAAACCGCCCGCAATCATGGGCGAAGACCCGCCGCATGACTAAGGTCAAGCATGTCTTCGCTTGCTAGGCCTGTTTTCACACGTGTGCTTCCCGACAACAGTTGGCAACCCATGCCTTCGCCGTGCAGGGTGTCAGGTGCCGCACACGTGAGCTTGTTGACGTGGTCCACTACCCCGTGTGCACGAGGTGTTTTCACACCCGCGTGGGAGTCATCACCCATCCCGAGGAGCACTCGGAGAGGTGCCGTGCTGTCGCCACGCAGTGCTCACCACGACTGCCAGACATCGCCGTAGCGGACACCCACAGGCGGGGCGCGGAGGCCGCCAGGGGCCGGGCAGGGCAGGGCCCGAGACCGGACCATGCGGACGCCCTTGCCTGTCGGTTGGTCGGGCCTCCGACCAGGGAGGCTTACGAAGCTCGCTTGGGTCGCAAGTCCCCCCGTCCGCTTCTCATCCTCTTTGGAGCGAAGCTGGAGCGAGGCGCCTCCGGAGGAGTGCCGCCTGCATTCGCGCACTGTCCCACGTTTTTCCCCTCTTGCACGATGCCTTCCACCGACGGGCACGCTTCAAGCAGCTACGGAAGGGAGCAGAGGAGGGAGGAGGGATGCAAGCAGGAAAACGAGCTTCGGGGATATGTTTTTTTGAAGATGTTCGCCCCTCCCAGCGAGGACGAGGAGGAGAGGGACGATCAGAAGGAGTAGCGGGAACTGGAGGAGGAGCAAAAAGAGGAGGGAGGATGCGGAGGAGCAGAAGGAGAAGAGAGCATGAAGACGAGGGAGCGACCGAGGATGGAAGAGGATAAAGGGTTACATGCCCTCCACATCCTTCCACATTCAGATCTTGATAACACCGAGTGATGTTGGACCGCCAGTTCTGGCCCACCACGCTTCGGCGCGACACGCTATCCCTGTCCCGTTCCCTGAGCGTCAACGTGTCGAACTGTTTCCCAGCTTCCCGCCCCGCGGAGCGGACTGACGCGCTATCCGCTCGCAGGGTATAGCGCGTCGCCGGGGCCGCCGCCGCGACACGCTAAGCAAAAGTTCATGACTGCCTGCTGGAGCGAGGGAAAAAGCATTGTTTGGTTTTATCGTGGTGTTGCTACGCCGCCCACTAGTTTGAGCACTTCGTCACTGCACAACTCATTACTACTGTTGTTTCCTCTCTCCCTCTTGGCACGCGCAGCCCACCATAATCTAAACCATGTTGACCATGTGCGAGGCATTGCTCAATCTCCGTGCACATATGTTGCTGGTGATAGCGCAAACACCGTCAAAATATTAAGGACACGGCATGGTACCGAGCCGAACACATTTACGGTCCGGAATCCTGGTTTGGCGTGTCGCTCCGCCAATTCTGGCCCACCACCCCTCGCCGCGACAAGCTATCCTTGTCCCAATCCCCAAGCGTAAACGGCTCGAGTTGTTCGTGGCCTCCCGCTGGAGCGGAACGACACGCTATCCACTCGCAGTGCAGAACTTGTCGCAGGGGCCGCCGCGGCGATACGCAAAAGTCCCCGATCGTAAAAGAATTGCAATGCGAGCGCGATCTCGCAACATTGCGAGGACCAGCGAAGTTGGTTGCATTGACCCTGCCGTTCGCATAGACGGAATTGGCGTTAGTTGTCATGGCCCGTCTCATCACCATGATCGTCATCACGACCATCTTCATCGACATCGTCACCCATGCGATCGTGACCATCATCACAACAATCGTCGCCACAACCATCGTGCTCACTCGTGTCATGGGTCCGAGTAGCCATTGTCATTGTCACAACCATCGTCACCACCATCAGCGTCGTCATCGCCACCTCACCACCACCGTCATCGCCGCCATCACCACTTTCGCGTGCGACGATTTCTGGGGCCTCTTCAAGACGCGGCCTTCTCGAGCCGAAACAGCTCCAGCCAAACTGATTCCTGAGGAGGAGGAGGAGGAGGAGGAGGAGGAGGCGGAGGAGGAGGACAACGACGAAAACGAGGAAAAAACGAGGAGGAGGAGGAGGAGGAGGAGGAAGAGGAGGAGGAGGAGGAGAAGGGTGGAGCAGGAAGAGGCAGGTGGGAGATCGCTCCTGCTCCTCCTGCTCCTCCTGCTCAGCACCACCGCCGACGCCCTCGCCGCCACCACGCCCTGCCACCGCCGCCGCCAGAGCCCCGTCGGCGCCGCAGAGGCGCGGCTCGAGTCACACACGCAGCGCCCCCGGCCGCCAATAGGGCCGCCGGCGGCTGGCGCGGTAGGGCCGTGAGAGAGGCCGCTCGCCGCGAAGATGGCGTCGGTGGCGGCCCGCGCTGCGGACGCGGCGGGGGGCGGAGCAAGAAGAGGAGGAGGCGGCGGTGGAGGAGGGGGGAGGGGGAGGGGCGGGGGGGAGGAGGGAAAGGGAGGGGGGGGAAGGGGGGGAAGGGGGTGTGGAGGGGGGGAGGAACGGAAAGACACGCATCGAGGGGAAGAGGGAGTGAGAGAGGAGAGAAGAGAGAATGGATGATAGCATCTAGATGCAAGCAGTTAGGCTTACATATATGTGTATGTGTACACATCGAGAGAGACATACATAGAGAGAGAGAGACCGACTGACAGAAAGAGAGGAGAGAGGCGAGAGCAGATCAGAGCAGAGGATAACAAAGGAGAGATGAGAAGAGACGAGAAGAGAAGAGAAAATAATCGAATGGAAGAGAGGAGAAGTGACGGGGAGGAGGAGAAGGAGAGAAGAGGATACGAGAGGAGGGGAGGGGAGAGGAGAGGGAGGAGGAGTTGGTGGCGCCGTCGGAGGAAGAGGCAGTTCCTGCTCATCCCTCTCCTCCCTCCCTCCCTCTGTCTCCTCCTGCTCCTCCTCCTTCTCCTGTCGCCCATTTTCATGCCCCTCTTCCGCTTCCCCCTTCTGCTCTCCTCATCATCGCCTTCCTCCTCCCTTCTCCCCTCCTGCTTCTCCTCCTCCCTCCACCTGGCGGACGAGACGAGGACGACGACAACGATGAGAACGACGACGACGATGATGACATTGAGAATGAGGAGGAGGAGGAGGAGGAGGAGGAGGAGGAGGAGGAGGAGGAGGAGGAGGAGGAGGGGGTTGGGTCAGGTCGGGTTGGGCAGCCCTCGAAAGCCTCTCGGCGAGGAGACATACCGAGAGGGAGGTGAAAAAAGTGCTGGCGGTGCGCGCAGGGAGGTGCCGCGAGGGGGGCGGCCTTCTCGGGAGGCGGATTTGCTTCTGGTAAGACAGGGGGCCTTCTCACAAGCGCCCCACCCCCAGGCTTCTGAGAAGGCGTCCTCGAAGCCTCGGGACCCTCCCAAGAAGGCCCCTGCGTTGCACGATGAAAAATAAACAAACAAACAAACAAACAAACAAACAAACAAACAAACAAAAACGCGACCTCTCAGAAGGCCGCACCCTCGCGCTACCCCCTTGTGGCCGACGCCAAGGCTAAAAGACGAGGAGGAGGAGCAGCAGTAGCAGCAGCAGGAAGGGGGAGGAGGGAGGAGGAGGAGGAGGAGGAGGAGGAACAGGAGGACAAGGAAGAGAAGGGGGAGGAGGGAGAGGAGGAGGAGGAGGATGGGTGGAGGAATAACATGGAGATGTGAAGAGGAGGTGGAGAGAGGAGGAGAGGAGGAGAGGAGGAGGGCGGAGGGAGGAGGAGGGGGAGGAGGTGGAGGAGGAGGGAGGAGGGAGGAGGGAGGAGGCAGAGGAAGAGTTGGAAGAGGAGGGAGGAGAGGAGGAGGAGGAGGTGGAGGAGAAGGGAGGAGGAGGTGGGAGGACGGGACGGTGGGATGAGGGAGGAGGAGGAGGGAGGAAGGTAGGATGAGAAAGATGAGAAAGATGAGAAAGATGAGGAGGGAGACGGAGGAGGGAGGAGGGAGGACGACGACGACGACGACGACGACGACGACGAGGACGAGCTGCCACTCGCAGGACGGCCCCGGCGGTGGCAGGCTGCTCCCTGTGCGGGAGAAGGCGCGTCCGGGGAGCCGGCCCGGGCAGGCTCCCAGGCGCTTGCCGGACGAGCTCGTCAATCGCAAGGAGCCCTGGGAGAGAAGGGGGAGGGGCTTCGACTCGGGGGCGGCCATGAGGGGGGTGATGACTAGATGGGGGTGGATATCATGGCGTGGGCCATGATATTTCCTCAGATCTCATGGCGCCTCTTCTTATTTCATTACGTCCCTGCCCCGCCCCCCCCCCCTGGGCCGCGCACATGCCGCCGGCCATGATTTGCGCCCCCCCCTCTTGGCCGCCCCCAATCGACGTCGGCGCTGGGGCCCACAGCGTCCCAAATTTCGATCCCCGAATCGCGAGCTTCGAAGGGGAGAAAGAGGACGAGGACGAGGACGAAGGCGAGGGTCGGGCGGGGCCAGGACGGGGATAAATCCGCTCCAGAGCCTTCCGGAACGCTCTCAGAGCCTTCTGGAACGCTCTGAGAATTCCGCGGCGCCCGATACATCTTCCAGAGCCGCGGGATATCAGAGATTCTCGATTAATCCGCACGAGTTTACCCTCGTCATGGCTTCGTCTTACCGCTACCAGAGCTGGCGGATCTCAGAGGTTCTGTATATCCATACTCCTGCGTCGTTCTCCCCGTCCGGGCTTCGTCCTAGAGGAAGAGGCGCCCCCCCGCCTGCCTGGCCCCTGCGTGGCCTGCCCTCCACCCCCCCGCGCGCGAGTGCCGAGGGCCCTGGGCGCACGCGGCGCTCGGGAGGGGCCACTGCTCAGGCAACGGCCGGGGGCCCGACGGGAGGGCCGACCTGCGCCCGCCTCTTGTGGGTATCTGCCAGCGTGGATCCCAAATAGTGCTTTGTGTCTTCGGGCGTCTTTGGGTTCCTTCCCACCGGGGCTCGGCTCCGAAAGTGCAAGCACCTGGAGCCAAAGCAGCAGAGGGGCAAACATTGTGTGAACGCCCTGCTGTCTGTCAATTTCCCCCTTGCACGGTGAGCCAAGCAGTCAAGGATCCCAGCTTTGGTCTGCATCATGTCTGCGTCCGGAATGTCTTGGCTCATCGTTGCATTGCCGTGCATACCAGGCGCTAGAATTGTTCTCCGGGGTTGCAGCCCTGCAGGTGCTCAATGACGTCACTCGGTCCTGTAGCGTCGCGCTGATGGAAAATCAGTTGCCCAAGTTACATGTGTGATTGTATTTTGGTCTCAGTGCGAGCGGATACACATATACATTTGAACATCGCCAGTTCCAGGCGTGCCCGGCAGGATTGCAAGGGACCGCTTGTACGCCGCCTGTGCCACGGGCGAGCCCACGTCCATATCTTCCATATATATCCCGCATCTTTTGTCTAGCGACTTCGAGTGCGTGTTTCAGGCCAGCGTGCCCCTCTTGCGTTGTCATTATGCCAGGTGGGCATCATGGCAGTAGCAGTTGCAGTGTGGTTGGATTGCTTGGACAGCAGGCGGCGCGACGAATCATTATGGTATGTTGGTGCATGCTCTTGGGGCTTCCTGAATCTGGCTGGGTCTATGCCGGTGACGTTCGATTTGGGTGTGAACTGGTATCGCGAGCGCTTTTCGCAAAAACAGCGCAGGTAATTCGTCAGAGGATGGCCCCAAAGGCATTCGTCGATCTTCTACAATCTGTGAGCGAAATGGTTGTTCAATGGCTGTTCCCTGTCAGTGTTGCGTGGCGCAGGAGCCACAGAGACATCGAGTGCTTGTTTGGGGTGTTCACCACTTGTCGAGCACTGGTGTGGACTCGCTCACACCCCCGTGGAAACACAGCCAGACTTACTTTCCAAGCTCTGCCCACGCGGTGCGCTGCTGTTCTATATTCTTATCGTGAGTGCGTGAACTCTTGGGGGCATGATACCGCAGAGCACGCCTTACCGTAGCCCAGCTGATGGACATGCAGAGGCAGGCTGTGCACCACTTGTGTCGTTTCGATGGACACGAGGCGTGTCTGCATCACTAGATGTCGCCGTGCTTCCGCTACGTCGGGGCGGCCAGGCGCGGTAGAGTAAGCCGAGGCGACCGTCCGGGGGTCATTCAGCGCTGGCTGGAACATCTTACCTTCACCCACAACTACCAAAACCCGCCAGGCGCTCACAAGTTACGGCATAAGTTCGCCCGGCGTCAGCCGCTGGGCCGCTCCACGTTCCTCGCTGTGCAGATGAGCGACGTGGACAGCATTTTCAATCGCGAGCGCGAGCTGATTAGACGATGTCGGCCTTCGGCCATCGGTGCCCCCAAGGCCATCGGCAAGCCTCGCTCGGCCACGCCCCGGAGAAGGCCACCTCGAAATGATATCAGGTCCAAGCTGCTGCCACCTACGTGCCGCGAGCTGGAACGTCTTGGCCCAGTTTTCGGCCGTGGGCCCCATGCAACCCATCCGGACATCGCCGGGACTGCATGTTCCACTGAGGTGTCCCCAGGGGAACTCGGGAAGCTCACTTTTGCGGACGCCTACCGTCGGGTGAGCCAACACGTTGCCGATGGCAGCGGCGTGCGGGGGCCAGGCGACATTTTCTGTCAACAATGGTGCATGCTTCTGCTTCTTTGGTTCGGCAGCCAAGGGATGCATCCACCATGGTCCTGGCTTGTGGGCAGGCTCGGTGATGCCGATGCGGTGCTATTCCTCTTGCCCATGACCGTATTGATCGTGAGACCGCGCATTTGGGCCCTTGCTAGGAGGCGCTTGGGAAACCGATTGCGCATGCTTGGCCTCCCTGGGCTGACCGTGCACCTGGCGGCGGTCGCAGTACCTCTCGCCCCCCGGGTTCGCAGGCTGATCCACCGAATTGTCCGGTCCCACAGGGCGTTGTCAGCGGCTCGGAAATGGTGGTGGCTGAAGCAGACTTCGGTCGTAGCCGAACCAATTCCCAAGTGGAATGACCGCGCCAACGCCCCCGCCGTGAGCCGCCGCGCTTGCATTGCCGAAGCCTTCGAGCGGAGTGATTCCCAACGGGGCCGGCGGGCGCAGGCTCGCAAATGCGGGCTTGTCCATTCACATGGGGATCTCCCGCGGTGGGGGCCAATTGCAGATTATTGCCGCCGCGGGGCTGATTCTGTGCTAGATTGGGCCCGGGTCACCGATTCCACATTCCGCGGCAGGCGGGCGCTTCCTAGGGGATCCAATTCTGCATGCCCCTTGCCGCGCGCTCCTTCGAGCGGCCGAGGGACAAGGATTGGGGCAAGCATTGCGAGCTCACCGCCCACCTGGGTCATGTTCCGCCCGACCATGTGCTCACGAGACATGACAGGCAGAAGTGGCGGTGCTGGCACCTCCCGGAGTCGCACTACATTGCAACACTCATCCTGCACATTGTGAGTTCACCGCTTTGGTCCTTCAGCAAGCTCGATCTGGATACGGCGTCGGCCGTGGTCTTGGATGTCCTCAAGCTCTTGGCCCCGAACCGCTTGCACTCCATGTTCAGGCTGGGGCAACGGATTGATTGGCTGCTGTACATGTACACAACGCTCAGGAGTAAATGCTACCACGGCGGTGGATTGGGGCGAACCTGCACTTGCCCCCATCTCTCATGTGCTCAAAAAATCGTCAGTTATGCTGCTTGGCCGGCCCGTCGGTCGCGGCGCGCTGCATCCAGGGGCCCAGCCCACGTCTTGAACCTGAAGCGCCACGGCGACTCGTGGGAAGCGTGGTCGCCTAAAGACACATGCGTCCAGCTTGCGGGGGCGCGCAACCGCCTGGCGAGCCGCGCAGGACATCTCGCCTGCACCTGCGCCCGGCGTGGCTCGCAGAAGCCAGCCGTCACAGGCATAGTCGCGAATGCAGGGCAGTTCTTCGAGGCGGCGCAAGCTGGCGACGCAATAGCGACCACGAGGCGAGTTTTACAAGGAGCGGCAGAGACCACGGGCCATGAAACCGCTGTTGTTGGCCAGGCGAAAGGAGAGGGGACGTGCACGGCTGCATCTGGCTTCGCTTGTAAAGGCCGTCAAGTATGGTTCAGGTTTCCAAAGTTTCTGCATGTTTTCACGGCCGCCATGAAAATCAAATGGTGCCGGGACAGTGACAAAGTTGCTCAAATGTCTGGGACGCCCATCGGTGGGCTTTGTTCGAAGGTTGCTGCTTCGGCAGTCCTCGGAGAGGCCGAGAGGAGTTCGAGTCTCGATGGGGCCTCTCGCGCACGGGCTGGTTCCCAGATTGCCGGTCTGGCTCGGCATCAGACTGTCGCATGCGAACGCTACGTCGACGACGCAATTTTCATATCAAAGCTGCTGCGCGAAAGGTGTTTGTCTGCCCTGCTCACATTCGCGCACCAAATGTATTTTGATGTCGCCTGCAGCGGCCCAGCCTGGAGTGGCTGGACATGGCCATCAACGTCCCGGATGGCGCAGTGATCTGGAAGCACCGGGAGGCAGTCCCTCCTCCCCCGTTTGTTGTTTCCATGATGCGGTTTCGGGGTTATGTGTTGGGGCGCGCGGCCAGATGGAACGAGCCCCGCCTCGACGGGAGCGCAACATGCTCAGCAGTGGCAGCTCTCATCTGCGATCTCCGGCAGGCGGACCTGCAACCCAGCCATTTCCGCCACTTGTTTCACAGCGACAAGGGCGCCCGCGAACATTTTCACACGCTTGCATTCCGGGAAGGGCTGGTTGCTTGCAAGCTCTTTTGAGCATCCGCCAGCGTGGGTCCCAAATAGTGCTCTGCGTTTGCGGGCGCATTTGGCTTCCTTCCCACCGGGGCGCGGCCCCGAAAGTGCAAGCATCTGGAGCCAAAGCAACAGAGGGGCAAACATTGTGTGAACGCCCTGCTGCCCGTCAACTCCCCCTTGCACGGTGGGCCAAGCAGTCAAGGATCCCAGCTTTGGTCTGCATCATGTCTGCTTCCGTAATGTCGTGGTTCATCGCTGCACTGTCGCGCATACCAGGCGCTAGGATTGTTCCCCGGGGCTGCAACCTAGCAGTTCTCAATGACCTGACTCGGCCTGTAGCGTCGCTGATGGAAAATCAGCTGCCCGAATTACACGTGCGATTGTATTCTGGTCTCAGTGCGAGCGGATACACATACACATTTGAACGCGGCGCGGGGCGCGGCCTCCCCCCCCCCCCCACGTCGCTTTGCGC